CTTCCACTGGCTCAGCGAACGGGCAAATAACTTTTCCCTTTCTGAGCTTCCATGCCTTGGTCTGAGAGCATTAACAGTTGTGTGCAGGTGAAATGAGGTTGACATCCATGCAGGAGTGGCAGCACAAACTAAGTGCCTCAATAATTTTCAGGCTCCCTGCCCATGAGACGCGTTTGCTGTCCACACTCAGCAGATTCCTGTGCCAAGTGCAGGGAAGGATAGCGTCTGGCTGGACCCCCAAGCTAGCAGCAACAGACATACTTGTTAGCGTGCCACCTTCTCGATGCCTGTGGCTGATTTTCCACTGAGAAAACAAATCCAGGCTCAGCAGCTTCGGTCCTAGAAAATTTTTTCAAAACCCTTCCTCAATTTCATACACTACAGCTACAAATTCATGCTCAAATCAGCTTCCTTTTTACAAAGAAAACAACTCTTAAACACTTATTTCAACTCGCCTTTGGCAGCTAATGCTGCCTCAGCCTCCCCAGTAGCTGGGACTACAGGCATGCGCCACCATGCCCGGCTAATTTTTTTCTATATATATCAGTTGGCCAATTAATTTCTTTCTATTTATAGTAGAGATGGGGTCTTGCTCTTGTTCAGACTGGTTTCGAACTCCTGACCTTGAGCAATCCACCCACCTTGGTCTCCCAGAGTGCTAGAATTATAGGCGTGAGCCATCGCACCCGGCCTGTAAAATGTGCCTTTCAAAATGAGGTTTTTGGGGGAATTTTTTTTTTTGACAGGGTCTCACTTTGTCAACCTGGGTAGAAAGCAAGTGGCATCATCATAGGTCACTGAGTCACTGCAACCTCAAACTCCCAGGCTCAACCAATTCTCCTGTGTCAGCCTCCCAAGTAGGTGGGACTACAGGTGCATGCCACCATGCCTGGCTAATTTTTTCTATTTTTGGTAGAGATGGGTTCTCCCTCTTACCCAGGCTGATCTAGAACTCCTGAGCTCAAGCAATCCTCCCGCATTGGCCTCTCACAGTGCTCAGATTACAGGCATGAGCCACCATGCCTAGCCTCAAAATGAGTTTCGTAAGCAAAGACTCCATTTCCCAGGTTCTGACAGTGCAAATATGTGACTCAGTTCTCCCAAGAAAGATGCAAGTGGAAGTATTGTGTACAGCTTCTGTGTTTCTTTAAAGGTAGGAAGAGAATTCTTACGCTCTCCTTCTTCCTGCTGCCTACAGTGTGGATGCATTTGTTGCTGCCTGAGCAGTCCTAGGCCATGAGGTGCCTTGAGAGGAAAAGCCGCGCAGTGGAGGAACAAGCTCAAAGGATCCAGGGTCCCTGGTGCTCATGGTGCCACCTTATCAGCCCTGGACTGCCCACCCCCTCCTCCTGCCCTCTGATTTCTTTTTCATGAAAGAAAAATAACTTTTATCCTAATCTATTTATACCTGATGATCTTAGGCTAATCACTTAGCTTCTCTATGCCCCAGTTTCTTCATTTGTAAAAAGAGATAATAGTATCTATTTTATAGATTATTGAGAATTGGCTATTATTACATCTTATTTAAGCTACTATTTTTTAACAGCTTTATTGAGATATAATTTACATGCTGTAATGGCTTGCCCATTTAAAGTGTACAATTCAGTGGTTTTTAGTATATTCACAGTTTTGCAATTATTACCATAATCTAATTTTAGATTTTAGCATCTAAATTTTTATCATCCCCACAAAGAAACCTTGTACCCACTAACAGTCACTCTCTATTTCCACATTCCTCCTCCCCAGACCTAGGTGTTATTTTTTTTTATTTTTTATTTATTTTTTTTTTTTTGTTATTTTTTTTTAAAGAGAAAACTCTCTTTAGTCACAATTTCTTGTTTAATAATTTAAAGAGGTTTATTCTGAGCCAAACTTGAGGACCATGACCCGGAGCCACACCCAAGAAGCCTTGAGCAGGTCACTCCTTTAGTCACAATTTTAAGGGTGCTTGAAGATACTTTGTGTTAATAGATATTAATAATTTCTTGATTTAAAATGGACAGATTTTTTCCTATCAGTTTTGATTCTCCCCAAGAGAAAGAACTTACATTATAATGTGATTTATTTGGGGTAAGAGTTTGACATTGTGTGTGTTTGATTTTTCTTAAGGCGTCAAGGTGCAAAGTGAATATCATTACTACATAAGTATACTTTTAGACAGTTTTCTTTTTCTGTGTTCATTTCAATATAATGTTGATTTTTATAAAAGCAAGAAACATTATCATGAGGCTTATAATGAAAAATGGGAGCTCCCTTCTCAATGCCTGACTTGCTATCCCAGAGGTATCCACTTTCAGCTCTTTTAGCAGACTCCTCTAACACTTGCCTCTGTATTTTTAAATAACATGCTCATGCCACTATTTATTTTCCAATTTTAGACATTATTTTACAGAAAGAGATTTACTCTTATACTCTTCCCCCTTCCCAATATAGTTATCATTTTTCTTAAATCATTGGTATTTAAATTATTATGATTAAATGAATAAAATTCACAATTGAGATGGGCAGTACTACCACGACACTCTTTTAAAAAAAAAGTTTGATATTCCTAGAGTTAATAATCCCCCATTCTTCCCCATTGCTTTGTGGGTTTTTGTAGTTATTGTTAATTCAGCCCCTCTCCTCCCAGTCACTCAAACCCAGCAGGGCCACTCACTCCATTTCTTGCTTTCTACCTTCCTCCCGCTGGCCGATCTCTAGATTCACTTAGAGCTACTATTATTCAATCTTGAAAGTTACTTGAGTCATGCCAATTCTGAAGGATACAGACTATTGTGTTTCCTCACTCCCATAAAGATGGGTTCTCCCCCAAACCTAGACTTACACTCGTTGTGCTGAAAAACGATTGGAAGCTTGCTTCGATCCAATCACTTCCCCTTTTCTTTCTCAGGCAAGCAGGGATTGTTCCGTGGCTCCTCCCCCATTCCACCTGCTTGAAGTTCACTGGGTCTTTTTTCTCCATGTCTGATCCTAGTGAAGTGGTCACCAAAAGGGTTTTAAGGAAAAGCATCATTGATGAATATTTCTAAGTCCCAACATATTTGGGCTGATAAGATCACAGCTAACAATAAAAATAAAGCAGCAAAATGCTCTATTGCTTTCTAGAGAATTAAGAGCTAGATTATTAACATGGCACTTAAAGAAGAAGCAAAGAAGGTGGACAGCACCTTGGGGTGCCTATGTGGATGCCGACATAGACTAACTGCGACAGGAGCTTGAGCCTTTTTTTAGTATGTATGAAAAAATCATTTCATATTTTCATGGAGGAATATTAGAGCACAAACGAGTGGTTCTTGGCCAAATTAAGACCTAAAGACACATTTGGTTGGCCAGTGATGTTTTTAATTTTTGCTTTTTAGTTGGGGTGTTCGCCTTAAGCCCAGTATTCTCTGTATCCTGCATCTGCCTGGCCCTGAAGGTGTGACATTTGAGATCTCTAATAATTCAAATCCCATAAGTTACAGAAGAGGGGGAAAAAACTCAAAGAGGAATAGTGACCAGCTTAATGTCACATGGCTAGGTGGCAAAGCAAGGACTAGAACCCAACTCTTCCTAACATACCACATTGCCACTCACTTTAACTCAACAGCACATCCAGACCTGTAGGCCTTAGGCATCTGAAGTTTACTCCATAAGCACATATTAAGAGCAGGGTAATAAAGAGAATCTCTAGGGTTATTCCCTAGAAGCTGAATAAAGCATGCCTGGCTCACAACGGAACATACATAGCCTCCAAGTGATCAGAAGATCTGAGGGCACTAGATGTCATTCAGTGTCTTGCTCCAAACACTGACATTTTATTCTAACTCCCCATTTTCCATGCTTCTGGCTGATCATCTCTCTTTTCATTTAACATAATCTTTCACCCAAACAGGGCACAATGCAGTCACTTGGTTTGATGTCAGCATTTGGTGAACTTCTGAAAGGATGCAGCTTCCTGGCTGCTCACTTTCCTTAGTGCGAACAAGCCCCAGGAGAGCAGTGTGGGTAGCAGCGAGCCAGGTGGGCAGCAGAGCCCAGGTGGATGCCTCTGTCTGGGGCAGGCAGGAGAGAAGCCTTCCACAGGAGGGCCAGCTGCCAGGACAGAATCAGAAATACTTCACATCTCTACCACACTCTATTTTTCTTAATTCCTGTTACCGTGCCTATGTCACTTGTTTTGACATTTAATAACTTAGTAATATTTAGAAAGATTAGATTATCACGTGTACACCTCAGATTCCTAACTATATTTTAAGCTTCTAAACAGAAAAACAAAAAAGCATGGATTCTGGAGACAGAGCTAGGGTTCAAATCCCAGCTCTGCCACTTACCAGCCATGTGACCTGGCCAAGTTATTCAACTTCTTTCTGTACCTAGGTTTCCTCATCTGAAAAATGTAGATGATAAAAGTACCTGCCTTTAAAGTATTGTTTAAGAGAAGTAGCCCAGCACAGTAACTTTGTACTTTATAGATACTCACCAAATATTTAATGTTGCCAAATTGTTAATCCACATTATAATGTTAAGGATTCAATGTGAAAAGTCATTTTTGTGATTGAGTAGGCTGAGCCAGACAATGTTTAGCAATAAAACATATTAGAATTGACAATATTAAGTCTTAATCATTATATAAGAAAAAGTTGGAAAAAATACATCTTGCTAGATGGACAATGCATATTAAAATTGGAGCTCAGTGGCTGAACTGAAAAGTTGCATTGTCTTAGATTTAATTATACTTAATTTAGCTTTAAGCTATCTCCATCCAAGATTACTCATAAAATTTATCTGACTGCTAATTATAACTGTCAACAAAATTCCAGGACATAAACACAACCGTAATAGTGTGATTGTCTGTTACTTGCTATGGTTTTGCTTACTGGTTGATTCTGAACACCAAGGAATGCACTGCCGTTGTTCTTTTGTTAGAACTAGTAAGAAACTGTCCTCTGACGGAATTTTTTCTTGCTTCTAAATTTAACCATTTCAGGGAGTTTCTAATTTCTCTTTCGCTCTTTGAGGTGAACCCGAGGCAACAACAGTGTGATCTTCTACTCACCAAATCCTGAAATAAGACCGGGGCAGTCCACGCAAGGCTGCCCAACACCTGCCACCTCCATATGGTTCACGCCACTGCTGAACTGCCTCCGTGGCTGAATGAGAGATGCGTGTGGGCACTTTGGTTTGGACAAACCACACACCAAAGCAAACATATGCGGACATACGTTGAATTTGCTCATGTTCTGCATGTTGTCTGACACCACGCAACACAGTTCTTCAGGGAGGTGGGGAAACTGCTGTGTCACATGAAAGGCAAAGGCTTCCCACTGCCCTCCTCAGAGAGAGCAGCAGGCACTGATTCCTACCAGCAACAAGACGTCCACAAGGGATTACTTCCTCTGCGACATCCTAGCACTGCGCCAGAACCTTCACAGACATCTAAAAAGAGGTAAGCTCTGCAGCAGAACAATAGGAGAAAGCAGTGGCTCTATCTATCAAGGAGAGTGAAGTGAAGCGGGTGTGGAGAGGGGACATCAGGCAGAAGACCAGTATTTTAAGTTGGGCTGCATTTCCAGTTTTAGTCTAAAAATATGTGTATCATTCTGGACATTTTCATCATCTTCCCCAGCCATACCCTAACTCCTTAACCCAAACGCACCGGGTCCAGGAAGGTAATAACAGGGATTTCTTTTGTATATGAAATTTCTCTTTACTCATTTGTTCTTCCCCATAAGCTAATTAACATTGTTTAATTTATTTCAGATCAGGGACTGGTTTTTCCTGACTATTCTGCACAACATTTTAATCAACAGAATATAACTAACAAGCTTAAAGAGCCACTCAATACTGAATCAGCAGCTCATACCATATGCTGTGGGTAAAAACATACTTCCCAAAAAAAGCTAAATGCAGAAAGACCAAGGATAGAAGATGTATTTAATACTCAAGAAGTCTAACAGGATGTGCTTAGTATGTGGAACATTGAGATTTTAAAGGGAAAAAGTTATTCTTTAAATATATCTACCCTAGTCACCGGGCTAGCTCAGTTGACAGAGCATGACACAAAATCTTAAATATATCTACCTTAAAACATTTTTCTTATACCTGTTTTGTTACAATGTTTAACCCCAAAACAGTATTTTAAGAAAAAAAAATCAAATTAATTGCAAAAACAATTGCATCTTGGCTTCTTAGTGCTAATTAAAAAAAAATAAAAAAGCATGTATTTTTTTCAGAAACATGGTTATGTGGTCAACAAATTTCATAGCAACAGTATGGTTGAGTTTTAAATCTTGGATAATATATATTCGGCTTTACTTTGGTATTACCCAAATGTATGTTTGAGTGGGGAAGAAAAAACAAATCACATTACAATTAAAATTTTGAGAAAAACCTTTGACAGGTCAGAAATTAGTTTATATCTTGTTTTACATCCACCATTTTAACAGGAAGGAGACTCTAATTGAAGGCCTGGTTGTTTCATTAGCATATTCATGTAGTAAGCACAGCTTAAGTCTGAAACATCCTAAGCAGATCTATTATGTTTTTTCATTTTCAAAAACATCTTAGAACTAAACACCAAGTCTCTTTTAGAGAAATGAAAGCAGCTTGATTTATCAGAGCTTGGTAGATTACACGTTTTCTTGAAATCAACAGTTTCCCCTCCCCGCCCCCCTATTTCTTGTAGCCCTAACAACTAAAACCAACTAAAAGCTGATTTCCATGTTAAACATGCTATTGTGCAGCAATCTTAAAAAGACTCTTCTACAGCTAAGGGATGAAATATTTCACTGGAATTTAAAAATTGGTTTTTGATTTCTGTAAAAGTTTTCCACTTATAAGTGATTAAATGATTTTGTAAACCAATAAAGATTGCCACATTTAAAATCTTTCTAAGTTTGCCTTCTTCCTAAGCTTTTGGTATCTAGAAAAGAAAAACTGATGGAACTCACAGAACGTGGCTAAATGAGTATTTTAAAGGAATCATTGATCTTAAATTTCAATTTGTTCTCATACCAAATTTTAAGTGTATAAAACAAAATTGCAGTAACTATAAAGCAAACACCTGCAAAACCACTCAGGTCAAAAAACACAATGCTGTGCCCTTTCAAAGACCCTTATTTGCCCCTTCCCCATAAGCACCCCATGTCCCTAGGCAAAGACAACCACTCTCCTGACTTACATAATCACTTTGTGTTTTTTTTATTACTATTCAGTGGAAACAGCAGAAGATATGATTTTTTGTATGCTTGTTACACTTGGCCACAACTGGGAACAGAACTAGTCCAGAATGTCAGGTCCAGGGCAAAGGACCAATAGGGACTGTTTGGTATAACCAAGACGGGTCTCTTAGAGGTGGTCTTGGCCATCTGATGGCAATGAAGTTCTAGATCCACAGGGTGGCAAACTCTAGATAGTAGCATGCAGTCCAACAAGTTGTGCCAGTATCCCCAGACTCTGGCATTCCATGTTTCTGCTCTTGTGGCCTTCACATGTGCACAAGGCAAGGTTTAATTGGACCTCTGCCTCATCTTTCTTCTTTTGCACTTCAACCTACACATTTACTTCTTCCATTTGACTCCTATGGTGCGGAGGTTTCTAGAAAGATGATACTAAGGCCGAAAACTTTCTCATTTTTCATAGTTGCCACCCCCATGACTGCATCCCCAAACTTCATAGGCTTTGTCTCTGAGACATGGTCTCACTCTGTTGCCTGGGCTGGAGTGCGGTAGCATCATCTTAGCTAACTGCAACCTCAAACTCCTGGGGCTCACAGATTCTTCTGCCTCAACCTCCCAAAGTGCTGGGATTACAGGTGTGAGCCATTGCACCTGGCCAATATCATGTTGTTAAACTTCATATGAGTGGGAAAAACTGTGTATTCTTTTTGTCTCAATTCTTTTAGTGTTTCAAGATTCAATTTATGTTATTTTGTGTAGCTGGAGTTTATTTTCACTGCTGGGTTGTTCCAGTTTGGGGATATTATGAACATTTTTTTTTTCCATTTTCTTTCCTGCTGGCATCTTGATCTTGGATATTATGAACATTCTTGTATACATATTGCAGCACAATGTGCACAAGCATCTCTAGAGTATGCACCTAGAGTAGAGCTGCGGGGTTGTATGCATATTTTCAACTTCATTACATAATCTTACCACCAACAGTGTTGTTCCACATACTCACCAACAGTTGTCATTGCCACCCTTGAAATGCTTGTCAGTGTGGCAGGAGGCTAAGTAGCGGATAGCCTGGCATGGTTTTCATTTTTCTCACTGGTGATTGAAGACCTTCATGTGCATGGACCACTTAGATTTCCTTATTGATTGACTGATAGCACTGATGGTAAGATTTCCTTGAGTGAATGATCTGAACTTTATTTTTAAAACAGCTTTATTAATTCCCATACCATCTGATTTGTTCATCTGTGTACAATTCAATGATTTTTAGTAAATTCACAGGTATGTACAACTACTACCAATTATAGAACTTCCATCTCACAAAGAAACACTGTACCCTTTAACTTTCAAACCCCAATCCCCTCAGCTCATACCCAATGGCCAATTAATTTCTATTTTTTTTTTTGTAGAGACAAGATCTCACTCTTGCTCAAGCTGGTTTTGAGCTCCTCACCTCAAGCAATTCGCCCGCTTTGGCCTCCCGAAGTGCTAGGATCACAGGAGTGAGCCACCGCACCTGGCCTTTATTTTTTCTTTTTAAAGAAATGCAATATGGCCATGTTGCTTAGGCTGGACTTGAACTTCTGGGCTCAAATGATCCTCCTCCCTCAGTCTCCCCAAGCAGCTGATACTACAGGCATGCACCACCACACCCAGCTCTTTGATATTTTATGTGGTACCACCAGTATGTTCTTCCTTTATGGATCATGTCTTTTCACTTTGTAGTGGCTTTTAATGAAAAGAAGTTCTTAATTTCAATAGATAGCTAAATATGTCAAACTTTATGAATGGTGTTTTTTGTGACTTAAGAAGTTTTTCCCAAAGCCAAGGACATAAAAATCTTTTCCTTGGCCGGACGCTGTGGCTCACGCCTGTAATCCTAGCTCTTGGGAGGCCGAGGCGGGCGGATTGCTCAAGGTCAGGAGTTCAAAACCAGCCTGAGCAAGAGCGAGACCCCGTCTCTACTATAAATAGAAAGAAATTAATTGGCCAACTGATATATATATAAAAAATTAGCCGGGCATGGTGGCGCATGCCTGTAGTCCCAGCTACTCGGGAGGCTGAGGCAGAAGGATCACTCAAGCCCAGGAGTTTGAGGTTGCTGTGAGCTAGGTTGACGCCACGGCACTCACTCTAGCCTGGACAACAAAGCGAGACTCTGTCTCAAAAAAAAAAAAAAAAAAAACTTTTCCTCTATTATCTTCTATAGGACTATAAAACACCAAAAGCCTGATAATTGTGCCTTATACATTTGGTCTAAAATTCACTGAAGTTGATTTTTATATAAGATGTAGGAGCCTAATTTCATTTGTTCCTATATGAAAACACCCCCATCGAATTGCATTTATTGAAAAGCCTCTCCTTTTCTCTTCACATTGCGCAGGATCTAATTCCTTCATCTCTTTCTTGTAAGATAGTAGTAGACTAAATCAGGGTTTCCAATCTGAGATGTTTTGTTAAAATCCAGATGTCTAAGTCTCATGAGACACTGGCAGAGGGGACACGGGCCCACACGAGGACTCTGAATTTATAAGTTCCTTGGCTAATGCATATGCAGCCAACCTGGCTCCTGTCAACAGATGGACATTCTGAGGATACTCGCAATGATCTCCAGTGACCCCTGGCTTTGTAAGATCCTTTATTTTTATAAGATAGGAACAAAGATGTATAGAAGTCACGCTGCAAAGAAATACGATGCATCTCAAATTCCACAAACTACATTTTATTTATAAAATTCAGCATACTGCTTATTATTGCCCAAGTCCATTTAAACAGTCCTCAGTTATAGCTGTCATTTTTCAAAATAAAGATCTTTGAAAATGTATTCAGAGCAAAGTAGTACTAAATATTTTATTAAGTTGATATCCCATGGGCATTGACAGTTAACACTATGGAAAAGGGGTTACTATAAAACAATATAAAAGTATTACAGACAATAGCTTATCAATATTATCTTCATTCCATTGGTGGGATTTTCTCAAGTAGTAACCTTTATTCGTGAAATGATTTCATTTACAAAACTATTATTCTTTGCTATCACCTCAGCTTTCAGCTGTTTTAACTTTACAGTGATGTTTTCTTCCGACATTTCAGTAAAAGGCACTTGTTTCACCTTCAATAGAAACTCCTGAATAATTTTTTCGCCTTGCTGAAAAACACATGAATGTCCCATTAGTTATTAAAATATCTTTTCTCAAAGTCACATTAATAGCAATGAATTGTTTCATGTCCATGTAAATACACCACCCAATATTTTGAAAACTTCATTTTTTATAAGCGTACACTGTCTAGAACATACAACAAAACCTTAAGTTGACCATATTTCTGCACAGTAAGTCATAAAAAGACTTGAATAAATCTATTCAGTTGCTAATGACAAAGGAACTAAAATTTTAGTGGTTCCCAAATCCCTCCACTTTTACAGTTGACATATAAATTAATCCTCCAAGAAAAAAAGAATCAAGGTTTACAAAGAATACTGCAAGGCATAAATAGTCACTGAAAATTCAACACACACACACACACACACACAGAATGCTTCCTTTTTATTTTACTGTCCAATTATTGCTATTCCAAAGAGCACAGTCATTATTATTATTACTTGCTATGTGACCCTTGGGCACATTCCTTAACCTACATTCCTCATCCATAAAATGGGTATAATACCATCTCACAGGGCTCAAAATAAATAAGTAATATTATCAAACATACATGATTTCTCTTCTAACTGGAAACCAGGAATTACATAAAAGAGCCTGCCTAATCCCAGATCACTGAGAGCTATGATTTTGATACATTAAAGAGCTAATACAGGCTGGTGTGATGGTAGTGGGTTATCAGAACTTATTATTAACATTAGTGTCACTAAAATTGGCATACAACCCCCCACTGCTAAATTTGACTGCCTTTAGGAACAAAAGAGGGGACGGCTAATACAAAAACCATTTCATATTTAAGATGGTAACCTTCCATACCTAAAATTATTAATAGATAATAATATATTTCTCCTCTTGTATCAGTACAACAGATAAAATTATAGGCTTTAAACTCAAAACCCATACATATTATCTATTATTGTAGATAACTTTCTATTGTAGCAACTTTCTATCCTTCAAATAACAACAACAAAAAATTCACTGGTAAAAGCTAAAAACATGACAAGTAAAACGTTGTCATAATGTGTATCATAGTAAACGTTGCCAGGACTAGGCAGTGAATTAAGATCTTTTATTTTCATTATTGAAAAGAACTAGTAAGCCTTTCATTCTTTAAAAAAAAACACATTGGGCACCGGTTTGTGCCTTTCTGTGTAAACATCCAAATTTGACCCATTGATTGAGAAAGCCAAACATAAGATCCACCTCTCCCAAGAGAATTGACATATCTTGTCCACAGACAGCTTTTTTGAATAAACATAAGTCATATACCACTTTATTCTGTATGTCACATTCATTTTTATCTCCCTAACTACATTCTAACCAACGAGAGGACAAAAATTATGGTTTGTTTTTTTTTGAGGCAAAGTCTTGCTTTGTTGTCCAGGCTAGAGTGAGTGCTGTGGCGTCAGCCTCGCTCACAGCAACCTCAAACTCCTGGGCTCAAGCAATCCTCTTGCCTCAGCCTCCCAAGTGGCTGGGACTACAGGCATGCGCCACCATGCCCGGCTAATTTTTTCTATATATATTAGTCGGCCAATTAATTTTCTATTTATAGTAGAGATGGGGTCTTGCTCTTGCTCAGGCTGTCTTCGAACTCCTGACCTCAAGCAATCTGCCCGCCTCTGCCTCCCAGAGTGCTAGGATTACAGGCGTGAGCCACCATGCCCGGCCGATTCACGTTTTTTTATTTCTTTGTCATTATCTTACCTAAGTAAACATGTAATTTAATAGGACTAGATATATTCATGAAGTAACCAAAGACAGATGTCTACAACTCTTTTGAATGACTAATTTTAAACCTAGATTAGTATTCCTTTATTCTTGCTTTTAAATCTGGTACTCAAAATGGTATCTTTTGATCATGCAGATGTATATAGTACAGAAATCAAAATGAAACATGTATTCTTTATCATGGAAAGAAATATAAGTGAAGGCCAATAATGAATGATCAAAAAGAGTACACAATAGAATCACACGGGGGGGGGGGGGGGAGAGACCCTCATCTTGATGACCTGGTTTACGTAACAATAAATAACTACAAAAACAAACTGACAAACCTCTCTTTCCAGATAGCACTTCTTTGCTGCTGGTTCCAATTCATCATATCCTTGGGATACTCCAATATTCTGAAACTCCTCAAGTTCCAGGGCTTTTTGTTTGGCACACTCTATTACATGTCTAGGGAAATTAGCAAGCTCTGCAACATGAATCCCAAAACTTTGATCACAGACACCTACAAGAAATTTGGGAGGAGTATAGGAGACTTGGTGAGAAGAGACAGCAATTTATACAAATGAAATTTATCCTTCTCACCTTGTCATTAGGAAACTTAATTCTGGATTATTTCAAATACATTAGCCAAATGTTTCAGAGTAACTTAGACAAAAGCATTTTAATCAAGCCTCCAATGAAAAGTGATTATAT